ATTTACTTTTAATATGCAATACTGCAAATTTTTTAAAATCTTGTACTGGATATTGGTTATTAAATAGAAAAATTCAATATCGATTCTAAAACAATATATGATTTATGTTTGCCTGATAAATGAACTAAATCTATGAACGATAATCTCTCGGCTCATTCGATTCAATAGTTTATTCATTTGAGTCAGTGTTAAATTTTGATACAATTCTATTCTACACGTTTTTGTACGCGTATCACACTGTGTAAATTTATATATATTTTTATATTCTTTTAACTATAAACGTTTTTCGTTCAATTAAATACGGTTACCATACATATCTATCAGTTCTACTAAATTAATTGCTCAGCAGTTCGTGACCCCACAGCGGCGAAAGAGCGAAAGAAATCGCAAGTGTGTGTGCAGACCTACAAATTTCGGAAGCAGGGGGCAGACTGAGATTACAATCAACGCACGCTTTGTTACGCATTCCCTTGCACCGCTTTTATTGTTGGCCGTCGATTGTGGTGTCTGTTTATGTGCTAGAGTGGGCCGGGAGATAGGCCAATTCACGTTTTGCTGGTTTCGGTCGGAGTTGAAAATCGTGAGTGCAGCTTGCAAATTAAAAATGCTAATAAACGCTGAGAAAAGCTCGTAATTGGATGTTGCCAAAAATACTCCTAAGCGACTAAGAATAATAATAGACCACAAAAATCATTTGATGTGTTCCCAAAATACAAAATACCTTGTCTGAATATGACGTCGATATTTTGTTGTTGCTGATATTGTTTCTTTAGTCCCAACAATGCGAACTGCGAAAGTTGAAACATTGCCAAATAATTTAAACCTGCTATCAGCGCGTGACCCTCAAATTTCGGAAATTTTATTTTTAAAGAGCTTGACTTTTGATAAATAACTCTTTCTAAACAGCTAGATTGTATATATGGCTTTGAAACGCATCCTTTAATTGTAGACAAAACAGAACTTTAACACTCAACCAACGGCTTATTATGTCATTTAACTAAATTTAGATTTGAACGCACAACGCTGAAATACTTTGCATTTGAAGCTCTCTGGCTTAAGGCGCTCTCCCGCTCTCAATTTTTTAATTATTTCTGTTTTGTCATAACTGTTTATACCTCAATCTTTGCTTCCCTATGCCATTCATGTTTATGTTGTTCCAGTTGTTGCTGCTCATTAAGTGAGCCGGCGAAATGCACAATGAAAACAACAGAAAGTAGCGAGTGTGATTGAGAGTGAGAGAGAGAGAGAGAGAGAGTGAGCAACACAAACAGCTGACGCCATTGAGCAAAACGGCGTCAGTTGAGGGAAAATTCAAATTATTGCAACAGTTATTTATATTGAACAACGCGAGCCGGACAAGCGAGCGCACGTCGCTCTGTCGAGTTTTTATTGTTGTATGCCTCATTATTAAAAATAAACGAAACGATTCCGAACGATACCGAACCTATCCAATAAAACGCTTGATTGAACTGAAGCTTTCCTTGCATATGAATGCAAAGCTTAATGAAAACAAACGACTAAACTAAAATCAACACCTAAAACTTAATATCAAGGTCAGCAGCTTCAAGAAATATCTATAAGGCACACTTTCAGCTGATATCTATATCAGCATATAAATATGTATTTTCATATTCTAATTGCATTTTTGTTTATGCCTCTCGAATAGAGATACAGCGCGGAAAAGTTCTGCTTGCTCAGCATAATTTGCAGTTTTAGTTGCCTAACCAGTATTTGATAAAGTGCATGAAATTGTTCGCCGAAGGAACTTGTCCTTCGCTCCGAATGAACTTCGCCTTCAAAGCTCTCAGTGCCAATGTGCTCTTCCGTGAGCGTTACGTGATCCATTCAAAGTGCACACAGAATTTGACGAGTCTAATTCTCACAATGTTATCCCATAAACTACTCAAGCAGTAGCTATCAAAATCGTTTATATATTCGTCACAGATGCTGTACACATATTGGGAATCACTGTAAATGCGAATGCAGTCATATTCTGGGATAGTTCTGTGAGTATGTATTGCAATTTTGTAGCGCAGTGTAAACGTAAACGTCACATGGCTATTTGTTTTGGTGCTGTCATTTGTGTATCTACCTGCCAAAGAAAAAAGCGAAAAATCTATGAAACATTTATATTGTTTTTGCACTTTTTTCATTAACATCTTGCTGAATTGTTAGTGATAAGAATATTATATAACATTCAATGGAGGATAGAAGATGACGCGCTTCATTGAGCAAACCCATGCTTACGGTTGAGCTGTGGGGAGAAATTCATTTTCGCAGTTGATTTTTTCATTTCTACTTTTTTTATTCATTCCCTGAGCCGCAAATAGCGCCTAGTCAATCACGCAACATACCGTTAGCATATAATGTAGACCTTGAAAAGAGCTTTGGTTTTAACTCTACTTACAGTTTGACGCTAGGCTGTATCCATGCTGCAGCGCCGAACGTAAGGCGCGAGACGACGCAAAGAAGGAAAGTGAAAGATCCTCGATCATCCACACAACAAACACATTCAATAAGACAGAATGTTACGCAATACGCCTTTCGCCGGCACGCCCACTTACAAATTACTGCTAGGCTTTGGCCTCTGCTCGCTGGGCAGCGCCATGCTCTACGCCTACTTCAAGTCCCGCAATGACGACAAGGATGAAACGGGCACGAAGAAGCAAACAGAAGATGGACAAGAACAAATCCAGCAACAGAAACAACAGCAAAAGGAAATCTGTCTCAAAATCGTTGTGGACAATGACCACGTACCGTTGATAATTGGACGCGGCGGCGCCAACATTAAACTAATTGAAGAAAAGACCGGGGCAAAGATAAGATTACGGTAAATATTTAACACAAGTTAACGGAGAAAGAGAAGAGAACGAGCTCTCTCTCTCTCTCTCTCTCCCTCTCTCTCTCTCTCTTTGTTTGTTATCAATATTAAGCAAAATAAAAATAATATTGAACATTGTTATTCGCAGCGATAAGGACAACTCCCACAAGTTCTGCGACATAAACGGCTTGCCCGATGCGGTTAAGGCGGCTCGTGTTATGCTCATCAAGGAGATTGAGCGTGCACCCATTGTCAAGATGGAGCTGCAGGTGCCACAGCGGTTGGCCAACAGGATCAGTGGACGTGGAGGCGAGATAATACAAGACATTAGCCGAGCATCATTGGCTAAGCTCAGCATCGATCTAAATGGACGCAATGGCAAGGCCAAGATCAGCATTGTTGGCAACCAGAAGCAGGTGAACATTGCCCGCAAGCTACTGGACGACCAGATCGAGGAGGATGAGCAGCTGCGACTGGCTGTCGATGAGGTGGAACAGCATCGCGAACCACGACGTTCGCCCAGCTACAGTCTCACCTCCAGCGTGTACTCTTCACAGACATCCCTCAGCTCCCAGCCGCCGCGCGACAAGCTAATGGCCTCTCGTGGAGATGAGAAGCCCATGGAGGTGTATGTCTCGGCAGTTGCATCGCCCACAAAGTTTTGGGTGCAGCTGGTGGGCCCGCAGTCCAAGAAGCTGGACGACATGGTCAAGGAGATGACCACCTACTACAGCAATGCCGAGAATCGCGCCAAGCACCAACTAACCACACCCTACATTGGCCAGATCGTGGCCGCCGTCTTTAAATTCGATGAGAAATGGTATCGCGCCGAGATCGTGGACATTATGCCCAATCAGTATAATCCCAATGAGCAAGTCATCGATCTGTACTTTGTGGACTACGGTGACAGTGAATACATCTCTCCAGCAGATATTTGCGAGCTACGCACCGATTTCCTAACCCTAAGGTTGGCCTATCAATTATTATATTTATGTATCCGCTAATGGCTGCTCAAATGCTTTCAGGTTCCAGGCAGTTGAGTGTTTCTTGGCTAACGTGAAATCAACTATTCCAGATGAACCTAACACTTGGCAGAAGGCATCTATATCCAAGTTCGAGGAATTCACAGAGGGTAAATATCATTTCCTTTTCGCTTCCAAACCAAATTTGTACAAGTGCTAAAATTTGAACAAACAGTTGCCCATTGGCGCAAGCTGATCGCACGGGTAGTTACTTACAAGGAGCGTCCGAAGGTGACGAGCGCCGCCAATGCGTCCGCACGAGATGGTACACCGCTGCCCGGCGTGGAACTGTTCGACCCCACCGAGGGGGCTGAGGTGAACATTGGCGACATGTTGATAATGCAGGGGTATGCCCTGCCACTGGATGATGCATATCCGGTGAGATCGCGCTCCACGTCTCCATCGACTCAGAGTGATTCCACCATCGAGGAGCTGTGCTCCACAAATACGCCCCGAACGCCGCTCACCCCAATGTCGCCCATGTCACTGTCAATCACAAACGATGTGGACAGTGTAGAGGATGCACACTTTGCCAATCAGCTGCAGCACTTGGGGCAGAAGCTGAACGGCAATGACTTGACCCATATCAATCCAGTTCAACTAACCACAGACGACATAAAAAACAGAAATGGAGAAGCCATCAAGAGCACACACAGCGATGTGGCTCGCTAATGCAGATTGGCACTTCTTAATTCTCAAAATTAGTCTAAGCTAAGCTCTCGCCTTATGATAATTGTGGGTAGTCATTGTAAAAAGGCAGCTCACTACCTGATATGTATATAAACCTAAAGAAATTTAAAAGAAAAGGAGAAAAAAAAAAGGAAAACAATACAAAACAATTGTTTAGACTATAAGTAATTAAGGTATTCAAACAATTTCTTTAATTTATCATACGAAATTTGACTGTTTATTGTGCTATATGAACAAAATGCACCAGCATAATTCTTTATTTTTTGTTTATTTAATAGAAATGCCATGTTACTTAGGCTGAAATCAGATGTATCAGATGTAAGTGGCTAAATAATTTTGTAATTTACATAAATTGTACTGGATTATTGCATTATGCCAGATATCAGAGGCACGTCAGAGTCCAGCTTAAGCGTTAAAATTCAAAAATTGTACATCAAGCCCAAAATACAATTCAAAAAACACTGTTGTACTTAATACTATTGCAGTCTCTTTAATGTGCTCAGAGAATAGACCATTCAGATGAGTATATCGTTGGTAGTGTTAATAGCTATAGGTGGCAAGTAAATAGCTCGAATCTGGCTGCGCAGGCGTGCGATTTCCATGTCGTCGCGCTCCATTTCTCGTATGAGCTGCGAGAACTGGACGAGCCCCTCACGATTGCCGGGAAAGCCGTGCAGCTTGATTACCTCCAGCTGCAACTGCATGACCAGTGGGAAGACATGCTGCATCATTAGAATCATTTCTTTGCCCGCTGACGCTTTTGCTTCGGATAGTTTTTTAGAGTTTTCAGGTTGATTCACTGTGCGTATTATATCCATAAGAATTTGCTTTGCACTATCATTATTGAAACTGGCCAGGTAGGACATTTCTAACTAATTATATATATTTATCGTCTTTTATGTTTAAGCAAACAGTACAAAACAAAATATCTCTATATTCCGTCACACACACTGCACATACACACGCTCACCTTGCTCTTTGACACTCACATCGAACTGGCCATTCACAATGTGACGCGAATACAGTGCTGTTAAGTGCCTAAAGCCAGAGAACAGCTGTTCTCTGGTTCACACAGCAAGTTAAATACATTTCGAGCAGAAAAACTGTATACGTTGACCCAAAAACATTTTTTATACATAAATATAATATTTGTTTTTAATTCAGACGTGCAGCATCAATTTTGGTGCAAGAAGTATTACAACCGTGGCGTATGATTCAGTTCATCGTGCGCGACATTGCTCAACACTAGACGAAAAATGTCACGTCGGAGAAACAGAAAAGACACAAAAAATATATTATAAAGCTCATTATGTGCAAGTATTTTAATAGATACAAAATAATATAAAAATATGCAATTGTATATTTAGTATGTGCTTTAATTGATTCGAAAAATTGTTAACGTAAATTATAAAGTTTTAATAAAATATATAAACAACAACGAAGGCGACGTAGTTTTGAGTGCATATCTTTAGTGCGAAAAGAAGAAAAAAAACAAGAAGCGGAAAAAGTGTGACAAAACCAACAAAAAAAGTCAGCAAAACTTGCAGTATAATAATAACACACAAAGTAATAACACGGAGCCACAAACACAGAGAGAGAGAGAGATACACGCACACCAACACGACAGAAGTACACAATAGGCAGCAAAGAGGAGGCAGGTGGCAGCTCAGTCAACAATTGTGCCACACATACAGAAAAAAAATTAATAAAATTAAAAAGTAACCACAAAGAATCATAAACATAATGAATCGTAGCGACGGCTTGGTTAGGCGCGCTGTCAAGCCACGCGAGAATGGAGCCGAAGGCGGTGGAGCTGGTTTGAATGCGAACACACCGGACGACAATCAGGACACGCACGACAGCAACAAGGATCAGGAGGATAACATCGATGATGGCGACTCCAAGGAGACACGTCTTACGCTTATGGAGGAGGTGCTGCTGCTTGGCCTTAAGGATAAAGAGGTGCGTTATTGACGTTTACCTGCAGTCTGATAAGACGTCTTATCAGCTGCGTTTATATCAAATTTTGTTTATCTTTAGTAAATAGTATTCCATTTCACCAATATACATCTACATAGAATCGCATTTTTAGTTTGCTCTTAGTGACGACAGCAAAGTTTTCAAAACTACTTAATTGGCAGCTTCCGTTATTATATTCTGTTTTGGCTACTTCTCACTCATTCGCCAATCGAGCAGTAAAGCAGTATCATCAGTAAAGCTTAAACCATGCTATCGATGTTGTAGGCTTAATTCAAGATGCATTAGTTTGTGTTGAAGTTGTGGGCAATAAATAAGCTTTAAAGCTCAAACTCCGTAACTCTGTTAACAGTATATGGATACAGAGAAAGACACCGAACGAGTTTAGCAGCGAAGCTATCAGAAGTATGCTTTGGTCTTCTTCGCTGTTCAGCTTATCGTCGATTGTGTGAAAGCTGTGTGATTTATCAAGTGGCATAACTGAAATTACACCCATACATCAAACGTCCAACTCTGGACGATCTTTTCAATTGCCTAAAAGCTTGAGGGCAACTGTGATCTATAGAGCTTTATGCCTTGCCGCATTTTGACTTCTGAGCCCCTATGGTCGAGCTCCAACCAATGTGCTTACGCACAGTCTTAAACTTAAACAAGTTTCGCAAGTCTTTCACGCTCATATTCAGCTCATAAGGTGTTCGCTTGCCATTTGCATAATAACGAAATACTCATTAATCTCGCACATGCTTGGCAACAGCTGCTGATTCCAGTGGCTCTCTCATTGTATGTATGTATGTATATGGAGTATCCATACGTGCCCGTATAGGGCTTGCGAATGATACTCATTTTGCCTTTGCCCGTGCAATCGCATTGTGCTTTATTTGCTGCCCTGTTTTATCATCTCGTTCTATGAGCTTGTTTGCTATCGTGTGTGTGTGTGTGTGTGTGTATAGAGCTTGCTTCCACACTCACCCACCACCCCCACACAAGTCGTGGAATTTCGACGTGTCGTTCGCTTTCCACTTGTTCGCTTTGATCGTTTTGTTTCGCATTGGATTGGTTTCTTCTTCCATCTACTGCTTCTGGTGCTGCTGCTGCTGCTGCCACAACTTTTCTTATCAGCAAATAGTTTGTTCTCTTTTCTTTTAGCTAATTATTTAAGGAAGTTACTGTAGTCCGTTCCTATTCTTATTTATGTACTCACTTATCGCAAATAACGTCATTAACGAAATGGTTTTTATAACATTTCAATGGGAATGATAATGGGAAGTCGTTGTTGCAGCCCTCGCATATTTCGAGCTCTGACTCACTAATGGTTATTAGTTAAAATATGTATATATTACATGTATATAATGCTTATATACGATATATCAAATGTGGTTACATTTTACAATTTTCTGGCTCGTTAGTCACAATCGAAGGGCCGCGTTATACATTTCGTTTTAGCTTAAACAAATTCAACTGTTTAAACTTTGAACAGTTGGAAACAACAGCTGTAAAAAGTCGGGAATATGTCAGACCCGTAACAGACTTGCCTAAATTCGACTCTTATATTTAGCTGGAATTAAAAAGAAAAGAATAATCTGATAAACAGTTGTCAAACAAACATTTAAGAGATATATAGAAGAGCATATAAGAAGAGATAATAATATTAATCCATTATAATAGTTGTGCTATATATATCAATTAGAATTATAAGTCCTAATTTTATTGGTATTGCTATTTAGAAATTTATTTGATAGATATGAAATTCCTTATGTATTTTGGTATACATTAATTAAATAAAAGTCAACTATTGTACGAACTTGTACGATAGAGAAAATGAAATTCGAAGCATGAGAGATAAAGATGATGTCGTATATGTTGACGCAAGCATTATAAAATTAGGAAATCAAGTTTAAGCCCAAAGATTGTCAAGAGCCTGAAAATCGACATATAATAATTAGTAAAAGGAGTTAAAAATGCATGAAAATCGATAAATTGCCTTAGTAACAAGATTTGAGCTTCAATTAGAAATGTACAAGTAATTCATATTTAATATATTCTATTGCTTTTTTATTGTAACAGGGTTACACATCTTTCTGGAATGACTGCATATCAAGCGGCTTGCGTGGTTGCATTCTCATTGAGCTGGGCCTGCGTGGACGAGTTATGATCGAGAAGTCGGGCATGCGGCGTCGTGGCTTGTGTACAAGGTATCAACAAAAATCTGATTAGATCCATCATGATCGACACTAATATGTGATTTGCGATTGTGTGTAGAAAGCTAATACTGAAATCGGATCAGCAAACTGGCGATGTTTTGTTGGATGAGGCACTGAAACACATTAAGGAAACAGATCCACCAGAGACGGTGCAGAGTTGGATCGAATATCTAAGCGGTAAGTTTTTCACTTGGAACGGGGAAAAATTTATTTGCTTGAATTTCAATTGTTTCAGGTGAAACTTGGAATCCACTGAAATTGCGCTACCAGCTAAAAAATGTTCGCGAGCGTCTGGCCAAGAACCTCGTCGAAAAGGGTGTGCTCACAACGGAAAAGCAAAACTTTCTGCTCTTTGACATGACGACTCATCCGCTCAGTGATAATGTGGTTAAGTGCCGTCTGGTCAAGAAGGTAAGCTGAGCCGCATATTAAATAATTTTGTCCATTTGTGAACTAATTTTTAAATTTGTATTACAGATACAAGACGCGGTACTTTCCAAGTGGGTGAACGATGCGCAACGCATGGATAAGCGGATGCTAGCACTTATCTTCCTGGCGCACGCCAGTGACGTCATCGAGAATGCATTTGCGCCGCTCAACGACGATGATTACGAGGTGGCCATGAAGCGAGTGCGCGAACTGCTCGACCTCGACTTTGAAGCGGAGGCGGCCAAACCGAATGCAAACGAAATACTTTGGGCTGTGTTTATGGCGTTTACGAAATAGGGCGATTTCCTAACTCCCAAAACCTGGCACCACAGCAGTCAGCAGCAGTACACACACACACAGTCACACACACACACAGTCACACACACACAGTCACACACGCACACTTACAGCTACACTCCCAAGATTTTCACTTTTGGCTGCTTGTTTTCCCACTGAATCGGGTGATTCCAAATGCGCCCGTGCTTCGGATTTCCTTCAGTTAATTTAAAAAAAAAAATAATAATAATAGTACGAGAGACAGTGCGTTGGGTTATAGAAACAGATATGTATATATATTATTTTCTATATTCCGCCCTCAAAATATCCAATGAAAAATCTTTCGTTTTATTTCGTTTATTTTTTGATTATTATTTCATTTTGCAATTTAATTTATATGAACGAAATGCTAGCTATTAGTTGAATTTTACTAACAATTATATGCCGTATTATTCCATAAATTGTGTTCTATGTAATTTGCAACAATTTCGGCATGCGAATAAACAATATATCAAATTTTCATCAGAAGAGGAGTCGTCATTGCTTAAACATAATACAAGTAATTAAGTTGTAAACTGCAAGTTTAAATGATATATTCAATATTTTGAGCTGCGACCGGTTTTTTATGTAATTATATAAACTTAACGTTAATTGTAAGAACTAACTCTGATGCAAGCGCATTAGCATGTTTAGAAATCTGTCATATGAGTGCCCTGAATGTTTGCCTATGCTAGGATTCAATTTAAATTTAAATAAATTCTCTACTTGTAATTTGGAAAACAATTTGAAAAGAAATATACACAGAGTGGCGGATCATGTGAGGGATTGCATCTTAGGCAATGTTTATTTAATTGTTATGAATTTCGGGAACATTGAAATCGAAAACTTTTCTAAACATACAAAACGAAAGAAAAAACAATCTAAAATTTATGTAAATGTAAAATGTGCACGTCAAATAATATAAAATACTAGATATTTAAAGGCCTAATAAATATAATTCAATATAAATATAAAAAAATATATATATACATATATAAATATCTTTTAACAACTTCTTTCAAATTTCTTAGGAAAACCTTTTGATTTCAGCATGCCAAATTTATCTACATTTGAATTTCAATATTTTATTGCAAAAACTTGAAACTTGACGATAGTCAAAATGGAATTTTTTCAGATCTCTGTTTATAAATTTACGAGATATGCAATTTTTGCCAGTACTACGAATAATGATGCATTTTTCCTATATAATTGATTGAATATCATCGGATATTTTTTATTGTAACTCAATCAATAAATTTATTTACTTACGTTTATTAAAATTGAGTAAATTATTTAAGTCTAATGAAAACGATAGTTTTTTTTTTTTTAATATATTTTTTTTAATAAAGTTTTTATTTCCTTTTCAATATTTCTCTTTGCACAAGGATTTTGAGGTTGTGGGGGAGGGAGTGGGTCGCATATACCGATAAAATATTAAAATAATTCTCACAAGAAATTTTTTGGGTATTTATAGATATTAATAATCATTTGAATTACGATACAACAAGTACATTAAGTGTGGATAACGAAATATTGCATGTAGCTAACATATTTTTTGATTTCCAATTTATCCTGATTTCTGGAAAGTATTTCATATCAGCATATACATATATCGAAAATCGATGTGTATACAATATATATATATTGCATCAGGCTTCATTCACTGTTTCGTTTTAAACTAGGAAAATTTCTCGTGTAACTGTGGTGCTGACATTTTTAATTTCATTAAAAATATCCACGTAATTTGAACGGCCATTTTGAAGAAAGAACAAATAAACACGAAAATAATTTGTCTAATTGAAGTTGCTCGTTTAACAAATGTTTATAGCGCAAAAATTCACATACAAACACACACGCACACACAGATAAGCATATAAAATACTTAAGATTGACAAAAGAAATATAGAGAACATGCAAAATGTGTAAAGTTTAATAAAAATTAATGGAAGATTTGTAACGCTCGAAATGATGTCGCGGCTATATGTTTATATGTATATATATATGAATATGTATGTATAACTGAATTTATGTCTGCTCTATATGCTATAAATATGCAAACGCGCTTATTTAAACCGACGACTGCTGAACGAGAGACGACGCATGCGCGCCCGATTCTGTGAGTAGCTCCTGGACCAACGCTCCTCAGTGGAATAGCAGCTCGCAGTCGGTGATTTATGTGAGTTGCCTACGTGCTAACTTAACAGGTCCTTGATCTCCTTATGCATGTGGCACAGGAAATCTACATAGCTAGCCGAGCCGTCTGTGCCTCGATCCTCGATAAGGAAATGCCGGAACACGCTCTCCAGCTTGTCGTTCTGCCGCACACAGGTGACCTGGAAACAGCGAAATGGAGTCAATTAATACCTAAGTTAGTTCACTTAGTTATTCTGCACAACTTACCCGCATGTATCGCGTGCGCTCTTCCATAATCTGGTCGATGATGCCAGTGATGCGACGTGCCAGCGGCGTATCGGCGGTGATTGCGAATCGCTCGGCATTCACCTGTTGCGTGCATTGGACACCGAATACGGATTGCACAAACGACGGCGACAAGGACTGGCCCAGCCAAACAAACATATGCACACCGTTCTCCAGTATGTATGCGCCGTCTTCGGTTATCTTCTCATGTGTGCAGCGCACCGGCGTTGGCAGCGACGTGTCATCGATATCCACGTTGTGTATGGGAATGAAGCGTGGATATAAATAGTTGACCGACATATTCAGATCCATGGCCAGCACAAATTGTATAACATAGGAGCGATCATCCAGAGTCATATCAGAGCCACCAGAGACGGCATCGTTCTTCAGCAAACAGGATGCGTACAGCGGCAATAGCTTCAGGCACTCGGGTAGTATCAATTGGCCAGCGGATGTTGGCGATGTGCAGTGCTTGCGATAGCAGGCCAAAATCTGTGCGGATCGCTGTATGAGATTGTCTTTGACCTGTTTGGGCGAGTGCTCCATCAGCTTGAAACAGGCCTGCTTCGCAAAGAACAGCATCATGGCGTCCAGGTCACAGCTCTTGAATACATCCGCAATAGTTACAGTTACGCGCAGAGCTAAATTCAATATGCGCAAACGTCGCTGCCCACTGCACGATGTATACAGCAGAGCCACCTGTATGTACACATTTTCCTCTGGCGCCAACTTATCATCATGCTTGATCTCAATGCTCACCGACTTGGTGGCATCTGTAAAATGTAAAACAAACAGAATTTGTTATAATTTGTTAAGCAAACCAGATATGTATATTTGCTCGCCGGCGACTTACCAATACTCGCCAGCTCGACGTCAGTGGTATTTGACATGTAGAAGTGTCCGAAGAATTCCGTAGGTCGAATACCCGCCGAGGTGCGAACGCGCATCACTGCATCAAATGCAATCGGACGCGATACGTTCTTAATGATATCTTCAATGAGACGCTTGCCATCGAGCTCGGCCTGGAAGTATGTATACTTGTAGACCTCGCCACCAGTCAGCCGCGACACTTGTCCAATGGTCGCAATGTCAATGTAAGCATTGTTGAACACAAATAGATCCACGGAACAGCCCTGCTGTACGCATTCCTGTCCCAGCTGATTGTACACCGTCGTTTGGGGCGTCA